AGCCCCTTCCCAGGGCTGGGGGCCATGGTGTCGCCCAGGCTCTGTTTTCACCAAACAGGCTCATAATGAGCCCATTTTAGGTGCGATTCTTGTTCCCATCCACAGGGCAGCAGCGTGATGGTGCTCTCCTGGTTCGCACACACGATGCTGTGCCAAGAGGCTCGTGGCAGGAGGGGGGAAGCAGCGGCCCCTTCTCCAGCAGAGGAATGAGACGAGGTGAGTCTTGCAGACACCTCCCAAAGGAGCCTGGCGGGGTTTAAACAGCCCTTTGGCTGGAGCAAACCCGCGGGATCCCCCCTCTGCCTTCCTGCCCACCCCTCGGTCTCTCAAATCTCAGAGAGATCTGGGGTTTTCTTTGGCATTTGCTCCAGTTTGGACGTTAAAAGCCGCTGTGGGCTGTCTGCCCTTTCTCCTCGCTCCCAGACAAGGGCTGCTCACACTTTCCAAACACAAGCGGGATGCGGCCCAGGCCTAAATTTGTCCCAGAAAAACTGAAAGAACAGGCAGGAGGGGTGGGGGGTGAAGGAAGAAAGGGAAAACAAACCCAAACCGACTTGGGTTTTACTGCATATGTCAGGGCTGGTGGGATTTGTTGCTTCAAAGCACATTTCAAGCCCCCCCGTCCTCCTCCATGAGGTTTAGGTAACTGAGCAAAGTGAAAGCTCAGCCACATGTGCACTGAACCAGCCGTTCTCAGCCCGGCATGTGGCATCTCCGCTGGTCCTTGGCCCTTGTGCCATCAGAGGCCACGTGGCCTCAGGATGCTGTGTGGCTCCGCAGGATCATCTGCTGAGGACAGACCCTGTCGTGACACCTCTCCCTATGGCTCCATCAGGGTTTGCCTTGGGAGGGGTGTTATTTTCCTGGGAAAAAAGGGTCATTGAGATTTTGGTTTTCGCTGCCTGCCCCCTTTGCTGATGAAATCAGCACTTAATCAAATCACATCAGGCCCAGATGTTTTGAGATCCAAGGAGGTGAAGTCAATTAGAGTTCAGATTTGTACCAAGCTGAGAAACCCACCTCATGGCTTGTGAACACCCCAGCTCCTCACACACCAAAGCTGGGGGCCCCCCAACAGCTCCAGTTTAACCTCCTGGGGCTCCTCCTAATGAGGAAGCATCTGATGAAGCCCATCAGCCACCCATCCTGGACAAAGGGTGGCCAGTCTGTTTGCCAAAGCATGGGGATGAGGCATGGCTACAGGTTCTTCTTTTGGGGCTAAATTAGGAAACATCATAATCAGGGAAAAAAAAAACTGTTTTCTTTTTTTAGGTTTTGTTGTTTGTGGTGAGATGAGACAAGGAATAAACCCAGCTTAATTCGGGTTCAGTGAAAAGCTCGGGGATGTTCTCTATGTAGAATAAGCAGCACTTTGAGTCAAGGCAGTGCCTTAGGTGCTTTGAAGCCATCCTCCTGATCCAATACCCTGAAATACCAATCACAGGGATGACGCAGGCTTCCAAAGGAGAGGAGAAAAGCAAGAAGAGGGGCACAACCACCACCCCCAAATTGACAGAGCCCTGGCCGAGCCCTGGTGGGACACGGCAACACAGGTTTTGCATGTTTTTATTAATAAAATGGCCATAAGTGAAGATTCAGCCCAAAAACCTGGTGCGCCGAGGCCCAGGGACTGCTCCTCACTCCAAAGTGAACCCAGGGTGGCAATAGGAGCCCATGGGGCTATGCCTCAGCTCTGCCGAGAGGAACACGCTCCCGGCGTACGCCAGCCTCTCTGCTCCCTCTGGGCAGCTCACAGGGATCCATCAGAACTCCTTAAACCTGCATGGAGAGAAGCAAGGGGCTGAGCATGGTAGGAGCCCCCCTGGCAGGCGTTGGGACCATGCTGCTGGAAGGATGCAAAGTAAACCCCAGCCCGGAGGAGAAACAGGCTCAAGGAGAAGATCCAGCCACCGTTCCACCTCTGGCCAAAGCTCCCCACAAAACACCTCCCAGCGTTTGTGCCTCCTCTCCGCGAGCTGCTCCAGAGACAATGCACTCCCAAAGCCCTTGAGGATGCTGCAGTATTCCACAACCAAGCCAGCTGCTTCCCACAGCTCAAAATGCCCCGATTTTGGTGCAGCCAGGACAGTCCTTGCCCCAGACAGCCCTGGCACAAGAGAGAGGAGCCAACAGCCCTGAGAAGGAGATTTGGGCTGCACTTACCGCAGCACAAGGCCCACACTAGTGGTCTCTCACCTGCAAACACAAGACATAAAGGACCAAAGGTTCGTGGGGAGTGTGGGGTCTGGTGCCCCACTGCCAGGACTGGAAGTGCTCGGTGCTCCAGTGGCAATCAGAGGCAGGCCAGTGCTGATTTGGAGGTATTTATACCCTCGTTGCAGTGATTCGACCACGGGTTTGATTAGTGAGCCCAGGCTGTGTGTAATCAAGCTCATTAGCTTGGGTGGGCAAGGCAGCCTGTAGATTTGGCTGTTTCAAGTGTGTTAATCAATGCCAATCAATCAGGCACCATGGCTAACATCTTGTCAGACAAGACAAGAGAGGCAAGGACACGCTGCCCACCCACCCATCCACGCTCTCTTCCCTGGCCATCACCATTTGATTCCCAAATCCTGATCTCAGCCCTTTGATTATCAGCAGAGCGGCTGTTTGAGGCTGAGCCTGCCAAGCAGAACTCAAAAGCAGGGTGAATCAGGCTTGAGTTTGCATTTAATCCTCGGGGCTGGAGCAGAAATACTCACACCGAGCTACTTGCCATCCGGCACTGACTCTGTCAGCTGCACACTAGAGCTACAAAGACACAAGGATGGTCTATTTAGCACCAGGAGATGGCTAAAATGCCCTGGGTGCTGCCCTGGATCAAGGTGAAAATGCCTCTCTGTGCCCATCATGGGCAGGTGACCTCGCAGTGCCCACGTGAAGGTGCAGCAGGGACAGCAAGGGATGACAAATGTCTTTCCGGAGCGGCACCGATGCCCTGTTTTGGGATTGCAGGAGCAGAGGCTGCCCCGGGGTGGCACGTACGTACCCTCTCTTCCTCGCCATGTAGCCACACCACCCGCGGACCTCTTTGACCACCACACGAGCGAGGAGCTGCAAGAGGAAAGGTGGAGGGTCAGGTCACCATGAGGGATGAGGGTTTCCATCACTGGGAGAGAAACTTTAAGGCTCTTCTTAGGGAAGATCGCATGAACTGGAACCCTGCGTGGAGGAGGTCGTTGGGAAAAGCCAAGTGAACAGAGGCAAAGGTTTGGAGTCATCGAATCCCAGGCTGGTTTGTGTTGAAGAGATCTTAAAGCTCATCCAACCCAGCTCTCTCAGCCTGGCTCCAGAGCAGAGCTGCTCCAGCCCTCGCAGCAGCTCCGTGGCCTCCTCCGGCAGACCTCCAGCAGC